GTTACGACCCGACCTGATTTCAGACTATTTTAAAATGGTCATTTTTGGTCAAAAATTCTATTTTCGACTTCTTCTTCAAAACCAGTAGCCTGAATGCTTTGATACTTAGTGTGTATGTACCTTGTGTTGACATCTACTAGATTTGTTGATCCCATAGTCATATCTTTAATTCTCTAATTTTGTGTGTTTGTTTGGCGATATTTCATTTAAAAGTACAAATTTAAACGAAAAGTTGTGGCATATACAGCACTAATCTTTTGTACAATAGCCGTTGAGCAACAGGCCATTGGCCTATTTTTTTTTTAGCTAATGTCAAAGGATATGTTCTCAATATGCTTATACCAATTTTTCCCAAACCACTGTAGAGGAGGAAACCTCACATTGAATTGTATTACTCAAAACAGTGTCTTTGTTCAATGAATGAATTTGTAAATTGGCTCCTGAAACATACCGTACTCAACCACATCAGCACCCATGCCCAGGGTCAAGCACCCACGCCCCACTTTTGCGTAATTTTTATATTTGGTGTCACATTTGGCAAACCCCTTCAAAATGCCACTATTTTAAAACTTGGGCTTTGATCATTGCTTTACGAATACTGGTAATTGGTTTTATATGACAAATCGTGGATATCGACTGTCGTGTTGTGAATGCGTAGACCATGGTAACCGTGTGTAAACTATGCTTCAACAATGACCTGTTAATAAAAGTAAAATGCGGTAAATATTTCATGCCATATTCAGTTGCGTTGCGTTGCCAGAAAGTCTTCGGGAATTTTTGAAGAATTGTGTCGGTACAACACAGCTTTCTGATTGGTTAATAACAGACTTGACCCATTAGGTCAAAGGACTTTGTTGCAGGTCAAATTAAGCAAATACATCATGGCAGAAAGTACATTTCATTGAGAGTTTGTGTATGATTCAAGACATTCATTTTGACTTCGACTGTGTTTCAATGTTTCAACAGACTCTAATATTTTTTTAATCTCGTAAATTAAGGTGTTACGTAATTGTAAAAAAAAATTGCATATTTTTTGTGACCGTTTCTGTTTCTTCATTGTAAAAATCAGTGGCTACGCAACTTATTTTGTAATTTTATTTTTCCTCAAAGACATAATATCCCCCTCATTCTGTCACATGGTGAATTAAAATTGTTATTTCTGAGGGAAGTGCTCGGGTAAGCGCCTCGCATAAAAAATCATGATTTTCCCGAATTGAGGACCCTGGGCGCTAACGCGGTCAAGTACGGTAGTAGGTGCTAATGTATCATTTTATTGATTGCAACTGATTTCTTAGTTACATGTATATACCCTATATATAAAATATGTTTTTGAAATGCAGTCCCTCACAGATTTTTCATCATCGGAGTGATTCATATCCCAAATTTTGGTTCCCTTAGTGCCTTTAATAAATAACTAATTACTGGACTGTATAAATGATTGTCACAAGGTCTGTATTAAAATACATTCACTGTGGTCAGTTAAGGATAAGATCCACTATATGACAGCGAGGTAGGATATGACAGCTGAGATAGATTTTTATTATTTACATACGGTACATTTATGTTGCGATTATTTCAACTTCCCCGGTTCAGAAAGATCGTTAACTTTACGTACAGTCAAGACTCGTGACCTGCACGTGATGGAAATCACG